GTACTGTTGGGTCTCTGTAAATAATGTTAAAAGGAGTTCGGTCTAGACCTGCTATATTTGAAAAGTGTCCTGAGATAACTTCTGTTTAGAATTGGCGCTATACAAATAAAACTGAATTGATTTGAAATTGAATTGAATTTAATAGTCTGTTTTACTCTAAATGGGACCATCATTTACCAAATGAACATCATGCTGTATGGAAGAAGAATGAAACTAGAGAATGAGACCATAAACTCATTAGGAAACTGTTTACTGAGCTCATCAATAAAGTGAGAAGTCGGCTCGTTCTCCTTTAGAGTGCATTGTATCAGTGTTTGATAGCAGCCAATGGAGCTCCCCCTGTTGGCCGTTACATAGAATGCTGGTTTAAGACAGTAATGCGTTGGCTTCACTTCACAGACCCACACACTCTGTCCGGTCTATACTGTCAATGGGTCACACTTGCACCACATTTAGCTTCATTTTAGCCAGACAGCCACATATAGCACATTTCTAACTAAGCAAGCTCGTTGTGATGCTGCCATAGACATTTATAATACACCATATTGGGCAAGGCTAGACTGGCCTGTAAGTAAATAAAAGTAAACCAGGGGTCTTCCTTGAGTCATTTGTAAGTTCAAATATGTATGATAAACGTGGAGTAGAATTCTACCATACAAATGACTCAATTAGATCGGTTGAAACGTCATAACGTACTTTTTATCCAGACCGGTTGACCGGTCCAATATGGCGGCGACGTTGACGTACGATCCGGCGGCCAATGCGTCGTCGATATATGTCTATCGCGACGCAGCAGGAATATATGAGGCTAACTTACGACTCAACTTCATCCGCAGTCTTCTTCAGCAGCTCCTGGATTTGTTGGTGTGGCAGTGCGTCCCACTGGAGGAAGACATTGTCCTTTGTCTGTGGAGGGAGGAAGATAGATTTATCGTCCTTTCCAGGAAACTTGTTGCCACAGTCTGTACATAGGAAAAACATACATGTCTAGTTACTACCTGAGGCGTATTATCCTTTACTTTTGGTTGCTCTTTCTTATCACGACGTAACGACCCTGCGGACATGTTGACGCTCTAGTCGTTGCCATGGCAACGCCCCATGAAACTGCTGTTATAGGCCCAGAATGACTTTACAGTGACTGTGGAAGCCCATTTCCGCCACTGGAACGTAAAAACGTCATCATAATGAGAATGTTTAATATTTATTTCAGATATAATATCAATATTTTGACTTAGCATGTCAAAATAATGACTTAGTATCACAAAGTCATTATTTTGAGATATTAAGTCATTATTTAGAACTTGTTATTAATTGCTGCTGTGTATGCTCCTCAGTGTGTTGGGAAGCTTAAACCTACTTGGTTTTTAGTCATCCACTTGAGTGCCTGAATTAGATTTTGTCATCCATGGATGAGGGCAAATTTCATCTTCTCTCCTCTCAGAGTGGATGTGAAGGACACAGGGAGTGCTCCTGCTGCCATTCTATTTCTCCAAAAAATTGTGTTGAGTAGAGCCAACCCGTTCTTGAAAAACAAACAACAAAAATGCGTGTACTGTATTAAAAGGAACCAATAATGGATAATTAATGATTTATTAAACTTCTTTAATCTCTAAAATCCATCTTAGTCTCAAGGTGATTAGGGCTTGTAAGAAATCTTGATCATCATCATTTTTTAGGACTTAAAACAGCTGGCCAGCTTAGCAAACATCATTCAAACAGGAAGAAATAGTGCATTTGTCGGGGACCATTTTCAGTGGCGGATTAACTCACATTTGGTACTTTAGTGAGTATTTGGGGCAGCAGAACGGTGTATGTGGGATTGAATCATATATTGCAGTGTGTGTGTGTGTGTGTGTGTGTGTGTGTCACCCAGTGAAACAGTGTGGCTCACTGATGTGTTTTAATAGTTTTTGGACAACAATAGTGCTCTATGGCACAGAGGAAGAAGAGGCAGGTCTCCTTTACTAGCCGGGTGTGGCTACGTATTTTGACAAATAGGGTCTCAATTAGAGGATTTTATAGAAGTTCTTTGGATGTATAAAACCTCTTAAAACCCACAGGGCCGCTTGAGCGAGTTCTTCTCTGCTGCTTAGATCCCCTACACAAATATAACGGTTTAAACCTTTGTCAATATGGGCACAAATCGTTAGATCATTTAACAGGAACCAAAGTATCAAATGGTCAAATTAATGATTTGTAATCTATGTTATTTGTTTAAATCTGATCAAGAGTTTTTTGCAAGACAACACATCTACGCATCAACTGCAAGACCAGGCTTGTTGTTGCACAGGTCACAGAGCTTCAGAATCAACAACAGCATGTCTCTGCAGGCAACTGACATATCATCAAGATTACAGCGACATTGCAGTAAACAAAAAAAGCAGTCATCCAGCAGGTTGCTGGAGGCGTGCCCCAGCTCCCTTTTTTTCTCCCTCTGTAACACTGAACTCTTTTAAACCTTTCACATACAACTTCTTCATCCCCCACAGCAGCCGGAGCTCCTCCAGTGTGCTTTACAAACTCAAAGACATGTTCTTCAAGTTCATTTGCGCTGTGGTGACCAGGTCCCTCTTCATCCTCATCTCTCTTATAGGGGTGTGGAGGGTGGTGTGGGTGAAGGACAATGGACTCTACTGGTTTCTCACAATCCTCTACCTGCCCCTTGTAGTTGAGATGATCCTGACCCTGAGAAGACGAAGTGGAAACGATTACAAATGGTATGAGACTCTGGTTCATTACAAATATGTATATACTGTTTAGCTACACTGTAAAAAAAACAACAACAAAAAAAACAGTAAAAAAACGGTAATATTCCAGCAGCTGGGGTGTCAAAAAAATAGTGTAATAAAAGAAAATAATGGACTCGTAAAAATAACGTTTTTTGCTTGAATTTTATATAAAATCTTTTAATGTTTAATTAAAGATATTTACACATGTAAAAACAATGAAATTACCTATCAATACAGACAACACTACTATAATACAAATAGAGTGCTGTTATTAGATTTTTGTTATTTTAATCTGATTTTTAAAAGTTATAAAACTTGAATACAAGTCATTATCTGTGAAATTGCAGTAATTAGTTCTTTTTTCAGTGATAAAAACTGTATTTTGACAGTTTACCAATGCTTATACACTGGTTAAAAAAAACTCCATAATCAAAGATATGACTGTCAATTAACAAACAAATCCATGTAAAATGATTGTCCCTCATTTTAGAAATGTATTAACAGTATTAAATAGTTGTTGTAAATATAAATAAAAAATGCAGTAAAGATCGGCAAAATTATAGCTTTGCAAATGTATGTATATAAATGTATGTCTTTTTATGTGAAAAAAGGGACATTTTCTTTAAATAAGCATTAATTTTAGGATTATTTACAGTTACAGATTTTTCACATTATCTTACATTGGGCATAGATGTAAATCCACTGGCTACTTTTGTAATTTTATTAATATTTCCATGTATCTAAAAATTACAGATGAAATCTGTCAAATAAACAGGGGAAAAAACACGTAAATTTACAGATAAAAAAAAAAACCCTGGCTGGTTGTAAAAACCAGTATAGAGAAGATTATAACAATATTTCCGTAATGATGTCTTCTTTCCCTACAGGTTTTCTCCAGCTATCTTCTTCTTCCTCATCAGTATTATCCCATCATTGTGGATTTTAGAGCTTCACCACCAGGAGAACAAATCCACTGACTCCAAGGTATCATGCATGTATTCCGTTCTCTGACATTCTGAAAGTGTTAATGCCATAATGCTGTGTTAATTGAGGATCACGCTGTCTCTCGTTCCAGTGTGAAAAACTTGACTCGACTGAAAACTTTTACAGACTCTGGAAGAATGCAACCAACGGCGGTATGCTACCTATGGTAAGTTTCAGGTTAAACTTACATTTTAAGGTTATTGTTATTATTTTAAATTCTTTTCCTCAATCTATCTTTAGTTCGAATGATAAAATACAATCGAATAGGGCCAGATTGGATTATTTAAACCATTTTATTATTAAATACTTTTTGAAAATATCATGTTATATTACGTTAAATCATATTCAAGATGAGAGCTTTAAAGTTCAAATGTATTTTAAAATACACTGAGATTGAAGTTATGTCATGTAAATGAGTTAATAATATAAGTTAAGGTAGGATGAAATTTAAGATGAGTGATAAACATCCTGCTTGAATCAACTTTGTTCTATTTTCAGCACTTCTGCTTTTGCTGTTCCATGTCCTCACATGTCTAGACAGTGCTCTTATTCTGCACAGTGTTTGGTAATGCTGGTTCACCTCAAAAAGGCTGTTGTGAGGCTGCGGGTGTTTTTTTTTCCCCTTATAACTGAGCACATTCACAGGACCGGCTGCTTTTAATAAAGTGACCCACCCTCAATAAAAACAATTACAAGCTGAACATGAAAAGCCTGCTCTGCGCCTTGAAATGTGTTATGACCAGGTTTTCACAGATTTCACTGTAGAGAATGTTATACTTCGTAATAATTCTCCTTTAGATTTTATCAATAACATTTTCTAAAGTTTTAAAATTCAAGTCACATGCTGTTATCCAGTGACATAAGGGAGTTACTCCGGGCCCCAGTCCACGCTATTATGACCAAATGCATAGTAGACTTATTTTACAGCAGCCATTTTAACATGACATCACAGGTGTTACCAAAATTACTATTTAAGGTTCTGTTCCATTTAGTGTAGCTAAGCCTTTCCAATGAGCCAACACAAACATTAGCAGCACCCTGACCTGATCTGAGATCTGACCTGAATGGAACAGAGCCTGGGGTCCAGGGATCATTGGGGGTCCCCAGAAAAAGGAGGAATAGAATTCTTAGGACATTGTTTGGAGGTTGGAACAAGGGAAGAAATATGGTTGTTTTTATTTTAGTTATCGTAGTTTGATCATTGATCGACTATGAAGACTAAGACTTTAAAACCTAAAAGTAAAATACAAATAAGTTTAAAAACACTTGGGAATGAAATGCCATTAGGAGCACTAGGAGGAGCCAGAGGAACTTGATTGTTTTACAGATTATCTGTCTCATGAACTACTGTCAGGATATAGTGAAAGGTTCAGTGAATATGACAAAAAATTTTATTTTAGAAAGGTAACCTACTGCAGCTTTAAGTCACTCTTTGAGGTACACTTCTTGTGGTTTCTGAAGCATCTAGACTTTCTACTATATACAGTATACTATTCTCTTGGATTAACTGCCTGGCTTCATACTTTAGTGAAGCCTTGTTAGAACCCTATATGAACATATGATAATGTTGATATGTGAAACATTGCATAATCTGTGATTGGTGTATAAGAAACCTTCTGGGCCTGTAAAACATCTGATTCTGTTGTGCTTCCTCCCAGGTCCCTCTGTCCTCAGTGTGTGCCAACGACTGGATCCTGGCTCTACACCAGATTCTGCTAATTTTACTGATCTTGGGGAAGTGGTTGATGCCCGCCGCTGGAGAGCTGACTAGGGACCAGCTCTCCCAGTTACTGCTCATCTTTGTGGGAACGGCTGCCGACATACTGGAGTTCACCTCTGAGACGCTGTCTGACATCAAGTGAGTGAGAGGGGAACGGGAGGGGGGAGAGAAGGAAGGATGTAACATTTAACTTGTCTTCTAAAACAATGAAGTAAAAGCAAACGCACGCATGTGTGTGTGTGTGTGTGTGTGTGTGTGTGTGTGTGACAGTGACAGCAGTCCAGTCATGGTGTACATTATTCTGGCTGTGTGGACTTGGAGCATGCTTCAATTCCCGCTGCATCTTTCAGGTACAGTAATGTGAATGCACTAACATGGCTTGAAACATAAATAGATATTCTGTTATGCTGCAGAAATGAGTCTGAAAACCTGGAACTGAGTTAGCATTTTAGCACCTCCAGTTCCTTCGACGTAAAATACATCAGTAAATATTCCACCTGTGGATTTTTAAGCTTTTACGTGTCTTAAATAGGCGGTTGCTAACAAGTGGCTAAATGAGACTACAGAGGTTGTCGTTGACATTAAAACATGGAGACTAATCTACTCACTAGTCCGCCTTTACAGCCCATTGTGTTTATATTCACCTCTCGCAAACTATTCTAACTCTAACTTTAAAAAAGTGTTTAGTTATTACAGTTTAGTTGCGGTGGCGCTGAAGTTATGTGACCGTGGTGTAGTTTGTTTATGGCCTAATGTTAGCCTTTTTACTTCTGGCAATTGTATTTACACTTCAAAAGCCATAAAAGTGGTGTTAATTTGTGAAGATTATCTTCCTGAAAAAAAGGTATACGTATCATTTGCTCGCAACAGAGCTTATTTTCTGCAATAGTTCAAAATCTAGTGGAAAGATCCCACTGGCTTTATGTCGATGGAACCAGGGTGATGCTAACCTCCGGGATGGCCTACAAAAGTACATCATCCCTGCAGCGCTCTATTGTAGGGACAAATACTTGAAAACATTGGTACAGGACATTAAAAAAAGGTATACAGTTACACTTAATTATGGGTTTTCCAGAACTGTCCAGTATCAACGTTGTGCTTGTTGAAAGGGTTGTTCAGTTTTGTACAGATCTCAAAATCTATTTACAATCAAATGGTTTATATCTTTCCTTATTGACGTTACAGTGGATTATGATACCATAATCAGCATTTTGTAAATCGAATAAAGTTTTCAAATGTTTGTTAGCTGTCAGTGTCATCTGGTACAAAACTTAGAAGGAGGGGATTGAACCAATAACCTTCCGATTAGTGGACAACCCACCCTACCTCTGAGCCACAGATGCCCCAGGTATACTGCTGAAGTATAACCCCTAACCCAGTGGTTCCTAACCTGGGGGTAGGACCCCAACTAGGGATCGCAAAAGCTTCATGGGGGGGGGTTGCGTGGCCGCACTGACTTTAAGGCGTGTTAGAAAACTTACTCACACAGTAGTAGAATATTTTACTTAGGCCTACATTCACTGAGAGTTACAGTAGAGTAACAGACTACAGTAAGAATATCAAATAATATTGCACAGAAATAACTTAAAAGTTGATCTAGACTAATGTAGAACCATTTATGCACTGGGACTCTATAACTCTGATTTGGGCCCCAGGAAAGCCTTGAGACACAACACTGCCAAGAATCCCTACTGTGATTTATCAATGATTATTATTATTATAGATAGGGTAACGGATATTTTCCATTTAGGATATGGCAGATTACAATTGAGCTACTGCAGCTGATTTAAAGTCTTTCCTCCTCTGTGTCAGTAGTAATGGGTGCGTCCTCAGATGACCTGTCCGACCCGGCCTCCTCCCGCCTCACTCAGCTCAGGACTGATATCTGGAGCACAGTGGAAGCTTTGTTTATCCAGGACGGGCCTTTCCTGGTGGTTCGGCTCATCGTCATGATATACTTCAACGTGATCCACCAGATGCTGATCTTCTTTGCCATTAAAAACTTACTGGTCGTCATTCTCAACATCTACCGGCTGTATGTGCTCATCTGTGACAAGAGAAACTAAGTGTGGATGCAGTCCCAGTGCAGCAAGAAACAGTAATTATGTTACTGTGCGCCATTGTGATTGCATGTCACGTTCTAGTATATCTGCAAAGTTTGTCTAAACTTCAGACTATGTGTGTACAAAAAATGTTTGAGAAAACGTATACGTTTTCAAGATTTTATTTTTATTTTAAGCTCAAATTTTTTAGTTTTGAAATAGATTTTAAAAGGTTTTGTTGACCTCTAATCTTTTGTTGAAATAATTGACTTATCTTCAAAAAAACTTCAATCTTTAAATCTTAAAAAAATTACCTATTTTAAAAAAACAGCTGTAACCCAAATTTTCATTATTTGGGTGCTTGAAAATTAAATAGTTGCAATTGACAATATTAAAAAAATGTATAATCAATCCATATATTAATTATATATACAGTACATAATAATTTGTAAAACTTAAAGATCATTATTATTGTTAGTTAATTTCAAAACGAATGAGTTTGAGTTTGACTTAAAACTCAAAAATGTTGTGAAGACAGTTGCCTTGAAATTATGAGTTTTCTCAACTTTTGTTTTTTATAGTGCAATGATGAAAACACTGACCTCATGTGTTAGTCCTGATGAAGAGATATTTCCTGTTGAAACATCAGAAACAAACTCAATAAATGAGTCTCTGCTTTGGAGTCATGGTGTTTTACTCTCAGAGGCGAAAGTGCAGATGTTGAGGTTCTACTACAGAACCTCAACGCTGTGAAAGCAGTGAAACACTGGGAGCAGAAACAGAAACATCAAAAGAGAAGTATATGATTCAATTTTGCTTCTGATGTTGACTTTCATTTTCAGATACATTTTTATTGTCCCCAGATGATTTGATTCTATTTACTTATTTTCATGAATTTACAATTCTGAGAAAGATCCAATTCCTTACACGCAAGTGGAACCCTTCCTGTGGGTAACAACCGGAGTCCTATGTAAGAGTTTCACGTAGACTGCTAACTAACATAAGTTAATATAAAATACTCCAGTGTTGTTGTCTGTGTTTTCCTCTGTGTATAATCACCTTAATAGAGGAATCCTTGTGTTTTTGTTACCTTAGAATGATCAGTTTTTAGCTACAGAGGGAGTGGGTCCTCCTCTAGGCCTTTTCATGGGTTTCACAGCCACCTACCATCTACTTCACTGCTAGATGCCACAGAATCATACACACTGGTCCTTTAAAATAACAGATTTTGTTGGATGCAGGTAATCAGTTACACCGAGCTGGATTTGAGCATGTGCACATACGCTTAAGAGAAATCATGTTGTTACAAGTCAGAAATATGCGTAGACATGCTATTTTAGACATTAGCCTAAGTAAAGAAAGAGCTTCATAAACAAAAACACCAGCATGGGCCACACTGCTAATGCCTCAACTCTAATACAGTAGCGTCTGGAATAAATAATGGCCGGCCATTATGGTCATTACTATATAGTAAGGGCTTTGATTGCTAAATATAGAAACATGCATCTTAAGTACAGTGCTTCATTATAATGCTGTTGGTCACACATTTTACCTTTATCAAAACATTGCAGCATCTGTGATTTGCATATTGCACATGTAATACAATTTTGATAATATTTAAATTAAATATGCAGGCCTAGTCTGGACCAGATCTAGCCTCTCTTATGTTCTAACTGTGGACCCAGGTGCATAACACAGATCAGGAGTCAGATGAAGTTTAACAGATTTATTGAATAATTACCACTATTGGAGATGGGTTGAATGAGGAGACAGGATGGCTGGTTATGGCAGAGGGGGGGATCCTGAAACACGAGGAAACAGGTTAAAAAACAAATAAACCAAAAACAAAGACATGAACTGAGTTGGCTGTGAGATTAGCTACCACTGTGGTTGGACAGAACACTCTGGCGCTGGATGTGTGTTGAGGTGGGACTTGAAGTAGTGGGTGTTTGGGAAGGAGGTGAGCCAAGCTCAGCACTCTGTGAGCGGGGCTGGGGAGACCTCATATACCTGGCCTGCTATGAGGATGCTCCTCATTTTCTTTGCATGGCCTCTTGAAAATATTAAAAAGTCCAGAAACATATAATTAACAAATAATACATTGTATTATTAAATATAATTACTTAATGTTGTATGTCGAGATTTATTTAATAAAAAAGCATCATATTTTAAAAACTACTTATGTTTTTAATAAATAAAACCTTAATCTCGCCGTCAAATAAATGCAGTGGAGTAAAAAATGTCCCTCTGAAATATACTGAAGTAATTAGAATTGGATGTAATGAAGTAGACTTAGGTAAAATACCACAAAATTGTGATAACTAAAACTGGCACTACTGACGCAAGTGATGTAGGATGTTGAACAAGCAAAGTCAAAAGCAGATAGTGCCCTCTGTTGTTTACATAGAGTATCACGATTCATTTTTCATTTTAGCGACTTGAATCTTGTTTCTACACTAGCCCAGAAAGGACAAACCAAACACTGGCCCTGGATAAAGGAGTTTTTCTCGAGCCTACCATAGTTTCTTCTTTGCGCTTGGAAGAGGAAGATAAAACATTGGCGTTGCAATGATAATCCTATTTACATTTTATGCATCCATATTTTATATTTTGTTACATGCTTAAAGGTCCAGTGTGTAATATTAGGAGGATCTATTGGCAGAAATGGAATATAATATTCATATATGTGTTTTTTATTAGTGTATAATCAACTGAAAATAAGAGAAGTTGTGTTTTAGCTACCTTACAATGAGGATTTGCAATGGGTGGCCGTCCATGTAGTCAGCCATTCATAGCCATTGACATACATACAGATAGATGACATAAAGCCAAAACATCTTGATCGCCCCCTGGTGGCTGCAGTTTAGGTCGTAAAGCCTGCCGCCTCCATGTTAGCAGATGGGTCGTGGGCCAAACAAAAAAATCAAATTACACGCCAAATACATTTTTCCCAAAGATGGTTTCTGTCATTTTAGGTAGTTCTTATCACACTGATGTATGTTCAAGTGTTTTGTTCATTTTTCTGATTGGTTCGATTTTAACTGCTCACGGTTGGGTCGGCCTGGTGTGTGGATGGGACTTTTCGATACCGCAGTGCCAACCCCGATCACTACTGCGCAGACATTGCCTCTGAGTGGTGAAAGATGACAGTGGCCAAATCCGGGATATTTTGGCTTCATTTTTCTACAGTGGGAGGAAGTGGAGATGCATCGTCCAACTTTTATATGTCAGTGTTCACAGGCCATTCTCATCCACAGGTCGTCAAATACAGACAGCAGCCTGCAACTTCACCCCCATGCTGTAAAAAATAATAATAATATATATATTATCATATTATATAATATTCCGGCAGCATAAAATAACATGACATATGGTACAGCCGTAAATCTAGTTGTTTTACGTGAATTTTACATACATCTTAAATCTGTGTAAAATCATACTTTACAATGTAAACAACCAATTCAAGTAATACATGCAAACCACCGCTATATATCACACATATCAGGCTACAATTCTATAACTTCATTGCTGTGTTTGCTAGTGATAGACAACTGCTATCTTTGACCAGTTCAACCCAAACGCTTATACATCTAGGTACAAAATGTAGCCTCATTCGACCCATTCTTTGTTGCAAAAACACTCCCATAATTACTACAAGCATATCTGTAATAAACAATCAAAATCCATGTAACCTATCACGTTTTCACAAATTTTCACATAATTTTAGATACGGCTACTGTATTGAACTGTACTTGAACAGTAAACCCACCAGACTTCCAATTTGACACCTGCGCTCACCATTATCTAAGATAAACAACGTTAAACCTACTCACGAGGCAAACAAGCAAGCACCTGCATTCATTTCACAGTACAGTTTAAATTCAACTGGTTTCTTTAGCTTTTCCTTCACCTTTAATAAATGACAGACATGAAACCAGGAACACCATGAAACTTGAAATACTTTTTACAGTGTCAGATCCCACTACAAAATCCTTCACACTTGGTTTCTAACACACAGTACTCTGAGTAAATGCACACTTCTAGTTACATTCAAGACTGCCCGTGAGAAAATGGAACACGCTGCTCAC